TGAAGTTGTATCTACCCTCTAGTATTTTCAATATTTTGATAAAATGATTTAGGTCTCATACATCGCTTACTTTCCTCTCAAAAGTATTCACACAACATAATCTTTTCCTAAACTCAATACACAACACAAAGCCACGCTTACAATAAAACAAACTCACATATCTCTGCATGATCTGGTGTCTCTCTTGCGGGTCGTCCAGCATGTTGACTGACAGGTCCGATATTGAAACGGCGGCAGAAGCAGTGAGTGTAACCAACAGCACCAGCACACCTTCACCTTCCTCCAGTGGCAGGTCCAGCTTGTGTGTGTGTTCTTTAGTCAGATGCGACAGGTTGATGGTACACCTAAAGTGCACACACATGCACAAACAAATGGGAACAGAATTAGATTTTGTGGGGAAGCTGACTGCGCTGAAACACATACTGATTGTAGCTCTGCTTAGCTTCCTCTTTTACAGAGGACAATAAGGACTAAACTTAAAGAAGTGCTATTGTTGCCATTTTGTGCGGTTGAAGTTCGCAGAAAAATGTCTACAAAGTAATAATCACCACAGAACGTCTGTAAAGTTCACAAAAGAATTCACACAGAAAGAGGTCTCCCATTTCCCTTTTGGAAATAAAGTGTCTACTAGTTATCCTCTCAATAAAATGACCTCATACATCGCATGTTTTGCTGGAGAATGGCAACAGCCTAGTTACAGTATAACAAGCGTGATGTGTGTCAGATATAAGCAACTGCAGACAACTTAGTAAAAGCTGACAGTTAATACCTTTAAGTCGGCACTCGTGAGCATCTTCGCTTGACTGAATGTATTTTCTGGCATGGCCTTAATATATCTCCAGTTAATACCAAGGCCTGCAAAAGTAACTACTGGCCTTGGGTGCAGAGTTCAAAGCAAAGGCTTCCTCATATGCCTCCATGCTACTATACTATAAACGTGATGTAAAAGATTAGTAACAAAGCTACAGACATGGCCATTTGAACTAAAATGTTGAACTGATGGAAATACTGTCATTGTGTAACCTCTGTAAGACCTGTCTGAATAAGTCCTAAATGTCAAATATATGCATGATTTGGGTAAGCCTCCTCTAGCTATACAACCTGACAAAAGACAGATAGCTACATGTCCACAAAGACTGACGAGGACCACTGTACCTTCCCATGAAGTCATCCTTCTTGCCAGCATCCTTGTCCCAGACCGTAATGTCCACGTAGCCTCCCTGTTCATCGTACAGGTGGAAGTCGAACTGCTCTCTCCACTGGGGGTTCAGCGTTTTGGGAATTGTCTGCGTAAACGACAGAGGGAAATGCATGGTTTGACCATATGGGCTTGTACATATATTGTTGAAGGTTAGCAAAACCTAATTAGTCTTTAATACAAACTATATAATTGAAAAGGAATTTTTCAATAGCTCGAGTGTGTGCTGAATATTGAAATGAAAAAGAAACCTATAAAGAGCCTCGTTAGGAATTGCATGGAGGTAACCCTAAAATAAACACTCAAACAGGAGAGTATTTACCTTGCTCTTGTACTTCTGATGTCCCATCTTGAATTTGACGTATGGGTCACTGAGGCCGTTGGCATCCATGGGCTGGAGGCTGAGACCTTCTATCAGACTGATGCTGACGATACCTCGCCACAGCTGGGCTTTTTTGTGCACATCTGACAGACGCATACTCTGATACTGCAGCAGGCGCACACACACACACACACACACACACACACACACACACGTGTGCATTTATACATAAACAAGCATGTACACAAAACAAAGAAACAAATGAATAAATTGGACCCAAGCTAGAACTATGGCTTGTGCAGACTTGGTCAACAGGAACATAAGCAATCCTAAACACATTGAGACAACAAAGAGAAGCAGGCAAAACACACAAGACTTTTACACAAAATAAGATAATTATAAACCCAATTTATCCATGATGTGTGAACTAACATGACATGCCAGAACATCACCATGAATTACAAAAACATAGTATCCCACTATTCTATTTAATCAAGTCTAAAGTCCCAAACATTTATTTTGGAATGCTGAGAAACTGAAACAAATGCACTGTATCCTCTGAATGATTACTAAGAATCTACTGTAGACAAAATGGCTTACAGTCTGCACAAGATTGTATATGTCATTGCATGAGTCTGGCATTTTCTGTGCAATAATAGAACTAATGCAATAAAAATAAACAGGCGAGTGATTTGTATACCGTCTTGTCCAAAACGGGCAGACCACTGAGATGCTGTTCCAGTAACTCTGTGAATTTCTTATTCCATCTGGCTGTACTGTAAGTTGACAGCCCTGCAAATTCAGATTGATGATTCTCCATAGTTTAAGTCTGCTTTTTTTCCAACAGTTTTCTCAGCACTTACAGGCCTATTTAACCTCTCTTTGAATCATGTCAGTATCCTTCACTAAAACAAAGAGCAGGGTATTTATTTGTCAAACAAATACACCCCTCTCTCTCTCTCTCTCTCTCTCCCTGCCTTTCCCTCTCCTCCTTCCTCGTTAGGGAGAATTTATTAGCATAGCTTTTGTTTTGCGGGCGAATTTCATTAAACTCTGAACAAACCCTGCCTCGCTCGCGCAGGCCTTTGATCTGGAGATGGAGCCTCTTAATTTCCATTCTCCAGACATTAAACAATGCGAATGGCTCCCTGCAATACAGCCAACCTCCCATAATGCAACTCCCACATCTTTCATTGCTCCTGTTCACTTGCTGCTAACACACTGTATGCTAATGAAGAGAGGTCGTTATGTCCTACTCGAGCACAAAACCTGATTGTTTCCTTGTTTTGTTTCTACGCGTTTCTTGTTAAAGAAAACCACGGGCTATTTGGATTGGGAATCCACATCTCTCTGCCAGAGCACAGCAGGAGAGAGATCATGCACCGAGATGTTCCCAGGTTGAAAGTCTTATAAAAAGAAACTAAGATTCAGTTTAAGAACTAACACAGCCACATAGTATAACGTATTTCAGCCCTTTGGAAGAATAAAAACATCTCAAGTACCAAAATAAGCATTTTTGCCTCGTGGTACAGTTAGAGAGACCTGGATTTAATATGCATCCGACTCATAATCATTATCTCAAACTACTTATTGAATAGCATCTTCTGCTGTGGGTTAAACACTCATTGATGCTTCATTAAAAAGAAGTGGTTGTGTAAAAATAACTGTGTACTTGTATGCAGAAAAGCACAGAGGCAGGGAGGACTCAGGAGCAGCGCCTTTCTGGAGGGGTAACACAGCAGCTAGTTAGTGTTTGAGCTAATTTCCGAGTCACAGGCGGGGTGGCCCAGTTTGGAAGCTTCAAAGGCTCCGTTTGGGGAAGCACGATACAGCAGGACGTCTGCCCGGCTCTGACCAACATATCACATTTTTCACTGAAAGGACGAAAACATACAGTGCCTCCAGCTGCCATTTAGGAGATTGCCGAAAAGTAAAACTGACTTTCCAGATTCAGCCTGTTTCCTTCTCAATGACAACTTTTGAACAAAACAGGAAAACATAGATAAAAGGAACACATGAAGTTGTGTTCACAAAATCGCCCCTAAACCTAATACTACTGTATTTGACCGAAAAATAAGGTGAGTGCTTCATGCATTGAGCCAATAAAAAAAAAATACAAAAACAGAACTTCGACCAGCATGCTTTCTTTTAGAAACTTACAGCCAATGAGAATCACAAAGAATAAAACCAAAAAAGTAGCAGTCTCTTATGGCAAGATGAGAACTTGAAATAATGTGAACATCAAAAATCTGCACTTAATGCAAAGGGGTCTAAGAGCGTCCTATAATCAGTCCACAGAGTCAAACAAACTTTCATGTGTCAGTGGATTTGCTGTACAGGACTCCTTTAAAACCCCTAAAGACAAACAAAGTGCTTCATTTTCTCACAAAGCAGCTGCAATACACTGTGCAGATCAAAGGTGGAAAAGCATGGATATATCACTGCACAACAACAGCTTAAAAGGACAAAGTTCAAAACGGATTATTTTAATTGACCGATAACACAAACAATGACTCCACTGTAAATGTCTGCAGTTTTAGCCAGATTATAACTGTTCTAACATTAAATATGTGAACAGTGAAAACTGTTTTTAGTTTTTTTTAAACAATGGCAGTAATTTTAGTGCATTAATTCCACTCTTGGTGTATAATTATACGACTTCTGTCTTGCCTTCACACATGTAAATACTGTACAATTCACCTTTAGGCCAAATCGCACATGCGTTCCAAAACAATTGTTTGCACCCCCTCGGGTGATGTAAATAGCAGGTGGTGTATTGCAGCTTGTGGAAAATAAGCTAGTGACAATGAGAACTAAAGAAGTGAAAAACGGCTAATTCCACTGTGGAAGGAGGAAAAGAAGGGCGGAATGGTGAGGGCCAGGGAGACTCCATCCATGTACCAGGACACAAGTGAAGAGTGCAGGACAGGTGAGGTGCAGTGCGGTCGGTAGTGGGGTTACAGTACAGTCGGAAGTTGTGTGGGTGGGGAAGTTACATGCTGTTTTAGTTTACCTTACTAGATCGTTTCCAGTTCCTTCTCAAAAGCATGGTCTGTAAATGAGACAAAGCTGTTACAGAGCGCACCCCCCCCCCCATTGCCTCCCCCTCAGAGGTTAAAGGGCATGGGTAATGTGAAGATGTTAGCCACAGCCTGGTGCAGGGGGGGGGGTTATATAAAAAGACAAGGGCAGCTGTCATTCATCCGAGTTGAGTAAGCAAGGAGTGTACAAGAAGCGCTCTTGTCATATGGTGTTATGAAGTATTTACATAAGCAGACATGCACACACGCACATATAAAACGTATACATGTAGGTGAAAAGTAGCTGCAGTTTGTGCCTCTAATACAGTATAACCATCATTTTTATACTTGATACTTTCACAAATGCAATTAAATACTAGACCCAAAAAAAGACAGGATTGTTGTACTTAGAGTAAATACCGTTTTGTAGGATTTACAGACTAGTTTTTGAAGGTCTTGCCGCAAATACTTCAAATTATTTTGTATTTCTGCTTATCTGGGTTGAATATAATCATCAATGCAAAAGGTTCAAACACAAAAAGAATCATTACACGAGTAGACTATTTACATGGGCACAAAGAAACAATTCCCTCATGTCAGACCAACTTCAGAACACATAACAGGTCCTATGCAGAAACACTGTTGATGCTCCATGATTACTCAAATCACCATACTATTAGTTGCTCAATAAAGAATTTAAAGTAGATTAAAGCTCTGCCTCTTCCCTTACCCTTTCATACCAGTAGATGGCAACAGAGAGAGTCATCCAGAATGTACTAGTGTAACCTTGTACTCATTTTCTTCACAGTTGGAGAAATCTAAAATGATGCTTAACCTAAATAGAATTTATTTGTTCTGTCAAATGTGGACTCTCTGAACTACAGTACGAAATAAGCAGCAGAATTAAGACATCAGATCAAAAGGAATAAAATATTTCCCCCATGACTCTGCCTTGTTCCGGATCGAGCATGCAGGGGTCCAATTAACCAAACAAATAATTGAACAGAAATAAATGCAACTCTGAAACATTGAGCACGTCCGTAGAGGCACAGGCTGACATAATTAGGAAAGAGAATCCAGTGCTCTTTGAACATAGAACTTTTCCACAGAACATATTAATTACACTTGTGTTTATGCTTGTGCATTTGCTGAGTTGAAGAGTTTCCAGTAAGTGATGCTGAATGAAGCCAGCACATTCCAGTTCAACACAGCCTGCCTTCTGATCACTGTCTCTGATGTATGGAGGAATGAATACGATACGACTTAAATTGACTTCTTCTTTGTTGTTTTTTAACATATGTCATCAGGAGTTCCTTTTGGCTACAGTATATATCAGGCATATTATTCCTTATCTTGGTGTGATGCATCAGAGATTACACACAGCGGGGCAAGTAAGATAGGAAGGTATTATTTCCCTGACTGAGGAGGAAATGTAGTGTGTGCAGGAAGAGACCGAGAGAGCTGAATGAGTAATCCGATTTAAAGTTCAAATATTTTTCTTACAGCATCACTCACGTCTCCTTCCTTTGGTGACAGAGTGACCGCCAGTTCGAGGCTACCCAGGTTATGTTCAGGATACTGTGGGTCCTTCAGGTCCAGCATCATATCCAGTGCCCTACAGGGAAGCACAGTAAACCACATACAAATGTATACTGCAAGTGCTTCCATGAATACTGCACATTCACATGCATTAAGTGCACAGATTTCACTTATGTGTACATAAATGAATGCATGCATTACATGCACAACCATCCAGTGGATACACATTTAAATCACTTCAATGTAACTCAACAGATGTGGCGACATTTTGCTTCCTTCCTCTTTACATACTGGCTGCTCTTCTTCAGTGAGATACAACGACCACAAGCGGTCAACCTAACTAACAATCTTGAATCATGCATAAGGAAGGTAATTCGTAAAGGCCATAGCATATCAGGTGACTATTAAAAAGAGCATGCCATTTCAGGACAGTATGAGCAAAAATTATTTTGTGAAAAAGAAATATGACAAAAACATTTCTCACAATTTAGATTTTGATGAAAATTCATTAAGCTGACCCATTGAGCCCTCTCCTCACACCCATGCTACATCCACACAGGTGTTTTCAAGTCATCATTTTAGTCATTACAGTTCGACATGTCGCAGTATAAAAAGCCCTGGTGTGAACCGTAAAATAAAAGATCGCTAAATTCTATTAAGATGCTTTGATTTCATGGCCTGGTATTGTGCATGCTGGCTCACTGTCACACAGTTATGGCTTACCGTGCTGGGATGCTTGAATAGATTGGAGCCATTGTTAATATTGTTAACAAAACTTCTAAAGTGTAAATGTCTGCTGTGAAAAATGTCTATTACCAGCATGGCTGACCCAACTCACACTTGACAGGAGGTGTAATCAGACAGAGTAATTGAAAACACCTGCGTGAGCGTGCAAAAAAAAAGAAAATTGTGACACCTACTCCAATGTGATTAATGGCACAAAGAAGATGGCACACATGAAGTTTACAGAGAATACAAAGACTACACTAAGAGGTAAATTACTACGAGGAACTTGAATTTTGTGTTGATTGTGGCGGTTCCTGTGGACAAAAGCAGTATTTCTTTTCCATTTAGAAGCCCAGTGTCTGCTCAGTCCTAGTTCTGGTTCTCCCATGCCACCCTCTTCTGGTTGCTGAAAAGGGTCGAACTAATTTCGCAAATGTGAAAGCCACTACATAAAAGCTGCAATGCAAATGTGAAAGCCACAACACAAATGCAAAAGCGTTTTTTCCATTTGCATTGTGGCTTATGCATTTGTTCAGCCCTTCTCAGCCACCGTACTCCCTTCCCTCCAGTAGACCCAGCAACAACACCCAGCCCCGGCGGAGCAGCGAAGCGAAGCTGGCTGGAGGAAAAGGTCGATCTGGATCTGTCCGTAGTGGGATGGTCGCTGCCGGAGGTCCAGAGTCGGAGCTGATGGAGTTTCTGGTGAACCTGCACAATTTCGTCCGATTTTCCCACAATACAATTAACAATAAATATATAAAAATAGCCAATCTTCTCGCTGGTGGTCTTTATGTAATTATTAGGCCATACAGAACCAGAACCGCTCAATTAAGACCGTTTCATAATCTGATAAATGTTCCTCATAGTAACTTCATCAGAATATAAATTAGGTTATTAAATTGGTAAAAAAAAAAAAAAAAACTCCTTATAATTCTATGTAAAATCTAAATTTAATATAGCCCGGTTATGCTTCATGAAGTTTGAGATGAGTTACCAAAAACAGACACTAGAGGGAGACAATGAACTATACAATGACCACACTAAGCAGCAAGGACAGACTCCCTAACTATTAACTTCACCATCATTTCAACTTCATTCATTGTCTCTTAACACAAGTTTTACTGAAAATGCCCATGACTAGGGAAACTAATGGAAGCTAAGTAATAAAAAAGAAGACAAAGGACAAAGAGACCTCTGATGTTCCAGTGACTCCAGATCGAGGTATGCTGAGCCCATGAAATCATCCTGAAGTCCAAAGTCATAGTCAAAAACCTACAAAGACACAATATACAGTTGTATAGTATCATATAGTATAAAGTTCTGCCAAAAGAGGACCCTATAGACCACATTACAAATGGTATGAGTCACATTGAATAACCAATGCTGGCATAGAAAAGAAGCTTGCATAGTGAGTTGATGTGACTTAATGATCTACTATTATTTATATTAAAGCAGGAAGACATTTGAAGTCCAGGATCTGTACCTTGACGTATAGCGGGTCCTTCAGGTTGTCCACCAGAAGGCTTACTCTCTCATCCCACAGCGGGTTGAGGTTCTTATGAATGGTCTTACTCCTGAACACCTCCTTCCCTGCAATCTTAAACTTCACATACGGGTCGCTGGTCCCTACAGGAAAAGACAGCAAACACAGAGAACTACTGTTAAGGTACGGGATTAAGAATAGTACAAGCAAAACAATGGCATATGCTGCCTAACTATCTGTAAGGAGAAGGGTCAAATGTAAGCAGGTACCCTTCTTCGGTCAAATTCTAATTAACTATGCCTGATGAGAATTTATTTTTCCCCCAAGTACACAAAACATATGTTTGCATATATACTTTCACGAGAAAATACATCTTTTGATCTCTCAAATTATCTTTAGACAGAGATGGTTGTACAGTGTACACACTGCTCTAAAGGCCTAAGGAGAAAAGCAGGCCTATCATGTGACTTGTGCTCTATTGTGTATCATATGATTACCAGTAATTAAAGCTGGAGCTTGGTGCTTGGATGTAGACATCTCCTGCAGTGCCTCTAGATGACCACTAGGTGGTGCTACCGACTCATTTATCTCTACCTGTATCGGTGCCAGATCATTTTGGAGGGACCAACAAATATTGAAAAACTGTATTGTTAAATATTCATTTTGCGTGTGTACCCTAAATGTATTCTAAATCTACATATTATTACCCTGATAAATGGACATCGATCCTCCTGTCCATCCCCTTTCTGCTTTACTCTAACATCCTATTACCCAAGGTCCATACATTTCAAAATCAATCTGTTTGACAGACAAAGAAAAACTAAGACAGGGAACACACAGAAAAACTAAATGAAAGCAAAGGACAGGATCAATCAGACACACGAGTTCAAGTGTTTATCTGTATGAAAATCAAAGCAACAACACAGACTTAGAGAGACTGGGGGAGTATTCACAATGCAGTGTTTGTATTTAGAGTTTGTGTAGGAGATAATCAGGTTTACTGGTTCAGTCTGTTCACACCCAGATGTAGATGAAGTGGCCAAAAGGGACATGATCAGGACTAATCACAGGCATTTCATATCCAAATAAAAATACACATATGCTTATATACATACAAATACATATAAACATTAACATGCATTCAGAAACAGAGGGTTCCACTGTTACCAAAGCGATTGCCAAGCAAATCATAATGGAGATAAGGGAGTCCTATTAATATACAATCTTCTCTCTGTGCCTGTGGTTTATCATTTCTGCCAGGATCTCTTGGATAAAACAGCAATGCAAGTGAACATATGAAATGCACTGTACAGTACATGATACAATACATACCGTATGGCAAAAAACATAAGCCTGATTTATATTGTTTACCTTTTATGATAATCTGCCCTGTTTTCTGCAGTCAGCCACAACAAGGCTACGTCATAGACGAGGCTGACAGCGAGGACACTAGATGATAAACGGCAGTGCTCTCTGTGTTTACACACGTTTCATCAGATCAAGGTGGAGTCAGGTTCTATCATTAGCAAGAGAACAAGTTCTAATATGTGACTAACTGATTTCACTGATTCTCATCGGAGCCAGTGAAGAGCCTAATGGCACGACTGACATGGGTTATTTTATAGAGCTTTTCTTTATTCAAAAGCATGGTCTCGCTGTTGACTTTGCAGCAGTACACTGCTGCTGTCATAAACCTCATAAAACGGCTCGTTCTGCACCGACTGGCAACAACCGGCATAAACCGACTCATGGGCATTTGCAGCTACCTGTTACACTAACGGTAAAGAAAGCAAGGGAAGTACGTATCATAAGGCCTTGGAGGGCGGAAGTGGATGAACCCGGTTATAGAGAACAGGGACACTCTAAGAAGTAAAGCTAATGCACCTCATTCAACATTACACCTGGCAGTCTATTGACAGGGTTATTGCACAAAACAATCTCAAAGCAGAGGAGAAACCTGAGAGCAAGATGTTTCCCGAGGCACACAGAGGCAGCCCGAGTGTGAGGAAAGGAGCTGAAGAGCAGTAAGATCCACACGAGCAACAATATATCTCAGTGCAAGCAAACAGTTTGAGCAGAGACGAGGCTAATCTAAAGGCAAACGGGAGTTATTCGAGTCAGGTTTTTGAGGTAAAGCATTACAAAATCTGAAGGTGAAATCAGTCACATGCCCTCAAATTGAAAGACCACGCACTTGAATAAAGAAGAAAGAAAAAAGCTGCATAATATTTTGTCATTACAAGAGAATTACTCAAAAACATATGGTTGTGATAATCAAGTGAACTGTTTTACATTAGCTCTACGCATCTCATTACAGGTACTTCAGTAGTTATTATAATACATTTTATTTATATAGCGCTTTTCATAGTACTCAAAGATACTTTACATTAAAATCATATATAAAAGCAATACACTAAAAACATAAAATACACAATCGTGGTCACACACTAAAAGCAGTTTTGAACAGGTGGGTTTTGATTTGAGATTTGAATATGGAAAGGTCAGTGCAGTCTCGGATGTGTTTGGGGAGAGCGTTCCAGAGGGAGGGGTCAGATATGGAGAAGGCTCTGTCACCCCATGTCCGGTGCTTGGTCCTGAGTGGAAGAGACAGGAGGTTGGCATCAGAGGAGCGGAGCCGACGGGATGGAGTGTGGTGGTGAAGCAGGTCGGTGAGGTAGGAGGGGGCCTGATTGTGGAGGTCTTTATGAGTGAGGAGAAGGATTTTGTATTGGATCCGTTGTGGGACGAGGAGCCAGTGGAGGTTCTGGAGAACAGGGGTGATGTGGTCGCGGGTGTGGGTGAGCAGGCGAGCAGCAGAGTTTTGGATGTACTGGAGTTTATTTAGGATTTTGGATGATGTGCCGTGAAGAATGCTGTTGCAGTAGTCAATTCTGGAGGTGATGAAGGCGTGGATCAGAGTTTCAGCAGCAGATGAGAAGAGTGATGGGCGGAGACGGGCTATGTTTTTTAAGTGGAAAAAGGCAGTTCTGGTGATTTGTTTGATGTGGTGTTCAAAGGAGAGGTTGCTGTCGAACATGACTCCAAGGTTGCGGATGTGTGGGGAGGGAGACAGAGTGGAGTTGTCGATGGTGAGGCAGAAGTAGTGACCGGTTTTAGTGAGGGATTTTGGGACCGATGATGATCATGTCAGATTTATCACAGTTCAGTTTGAGGAAGTTGGTTTGCATCCATGATTTAATGTCAGTGAGGCAGCTGGTGAGAGTGGAGTGAGTAGCAGTGGTAATGGCCTTTGTGGAGATGTAGAGCTGGACATCATCGGCGTAGCAGTGAAAGTGAAGACCATGTTCACGGATGATGTTACCAAGAGGGAGCAAGTAGAGGATGAACAGAAGAGGACCAAGCACCGAACCATGGGGGACGCCTTGAGACAGAGGAGCAGTGGAGGAGGTGCAGTTGTTGATGCTGATGAACTGTTGTCTGTTTGTGAGATATGATTTAATCCAGGAGAGAGCAATTCCGGTGATGTTGAGGGCGGATTCGAGGCGGGAGAGAGAAGGATGTTGTGGTTGACGGTGTCAAAAGCTGCAGTGAGGTCGAGGAGGATGAGAATGTTGAGGTGCCCAGCGTCTCAGGAGAGGAGGAGGTCGTTGGTGACTTTGAGGAGGGCTGTTTCAGTGCTGTGAGCGGAAACCGGATTGAAATGGCTCGAACAGATCGTTGGAGATGAGGTGGGCTTATATTCTAGAAAATGATATAATATACTGTGGATAGTATTTTAATGGACAATACATTCAAAAATAATAATAAAATAATAATCTGAATATGCTAGAGAACCTTTAAACGCGAGTAAACAACGCTAAATAATTCACAGCTGCCGGCAAGTGATGGAAATGTGCACTAACGACGGCCTGCTGGGAAAAGATGTCCACTTCGTCACATTTAAGCACCCTCAAGCACAGCAGCAGCGACACTAGAAACACACTACACACATTCGGACCTATTTACACAGCGTTACCCATGACATATCACTGCAGGTGAGCTGCAGCGAGAGGACACGGGTGACAGGATAAGAAAAAAAAAGGTGAAAAAAGATCCAGCTAGAAATGTCTTAGAGCGCATTAATATGTAGCATAACTGTCAGTAAGTGCAAAAGATAATGCGGAATTACACAAGCATGAAATAAAGAAGAAGTAATCTATTATTATATTCTAACCAACTGCTGTAAAGTGTTCATGACGTGATACTTCAAGAACTATCTAAAGCGAAATGTTCCCATCATGGAAGCAGAGCCACTTATCTCTAAAACTACAGCAACCCTATTTCTCTGTCTATCCGCCTCTCTTTCTGTGTCACACTGATGGGTCGATATTCCCCAGACACACATCACTGGCTCAGCGTGCCACAGTGCCAGCTTTAGGGTGCCATAAACATACTCGGGCTGAGAAGTAGGAAATAAAAAAGGCTGGTTCTGTGGGTGGGTGGTGCCTCAATATGAGGGAGCGTGGGTAGAGCACAGAGGAGTGAATGCAGTGATGCTTTCTTGGAAATCAACCTCCATATAGGTCATATTGTATGACATTATAT